TAAGACGTAAAAATAGGTAGCGACTGTTTCTTCGCCAAGCGCTCAGCATCAGAAATGAAAGTCACGGGTCTTTCGGATATGACCATAAAAAGGTAGGTCCTGTGTCACGGTAGGCGCTGGCACGATAAAGAACTCTCACTGCTCAATGGCCCTGAGTGCCGAGTATAGGTCTTAATTTGAAGCCCTTCACCGGCATACGGTGACGTCTCCATATGAAAGAAAAATTCTGAAGAGGGACGTAGAACAATATACAATCAAACAATAAATCATTTTTTTATGAAGTGTAATATAAAAAAATGACTATGTTCATGAGCTAAATGGTTAAAGGAATAAGTCAATGATATTTGGCAGTTATGGCTAAACTGGCTTTTTTTGAAAATCAAGTTTTAAGTAGTTCATTGTTTAATTTTTTTTCTCTTTTCGCAAACAACTAAATGGGGGTAACTTTTGGAATTTCCTGCCCAAAAAAACACTCTTACGATTTTGTACAAAATGTGCATACACACAGTAGATAAAGTAATATACTAAATATTAAGAAAATAGCGAAAATTAATCGACAGGAATTTTTTTTGGTAATTGTGTTGTACATCCTTAAAAAGAAAACGAATATGATTTGAGCAGGCTTCACTGATAACAGTGAGGTACATTTACTTCCAAGTCTGATTTTATATGTGCATCTATAAAAATAGGTTAGATTAATGCATATGACGATCTTGATGTAAAAAGAAATAGATGTAGAAATTAGCACATTAATAAAAAATAGGAATTTGAATAAACTCACTGTAAAGTGCAGCTCCGATCTCAATCAATGGTTTGGCAATTATTCTCATGAAATGAGATTATTTCAAAACAAACTTGAAAACATGTTGTTCACACATGATTTGTTGAGAAAAACGCTTTGTCCTAATTTTCATCAGATAACCCTTTTATATTTAAGGAGTGAATTTAATTTCAACCATTTTTTACGGTATTATCTGGATTTGGGAATTTTACGCTCTATAAACCCCGAATACAGTATACCAAATGTAGGTATTAAATCAATTCCTATGAATTAAATTTCATTTTTTTAGTATAAGAAAAAAGGTTTATTGTGCTTAAAAAATTACTTCAATTTGTACAAAATTTGAATGTAACGTCAGACGAATGGGTTCGTTCATGACGCAAGACACTGTGACCTAGGCAATCCATTTCATACGATATAAAGTAATTTTCTATCCAATTGAAAAGTGTTGCAAACATAATTTAATTATATGAATATAAATATAATGTCTAATGTAAACATAAATAAAGAGGATATTTGTTTAATTAAAAAAAATACCTACCAGTAATTTACATTACCTGTTCCCTTTGCATCCGTTCAAAAGATATTGTGTATATTACTACTATACATATTTCCATGCTGCCGCATTAATTCTGGTGTCCCAACTGCATGTGTTGATATCTAGCATAGTCTCGCATAGACCTGCGTACATATAGACCCTTTACGCACGAAATATTTCGATTATTTCTGCGCAAACTTATTTCCATGATTTATTTTTAAATAGTAAAAGCCTTTTAGAGTCACCCCACTAGATATGTAGGTGGTGGCTGATCGTTTTCTGACGTCGAAGCAAATAACTGCCTACTGTTCATGTATGTAGAATATAATTTTATTTTTAAAAATAGCTCTTGCTGATTGTTAATAGATGCATAGTTATTGAACTAAATAATGCATTGTAATGATACATATATATGTGATATTGTTGTGTTCTAATAAAAAATATATACCCACCATTAATATACCTTACATTGTTTTTGAATTCGTTCCCAAGAACTTCTGTACATTTCCGGTACATTTCTTTGCTGCTGTGCATATGATTTTCGCGATTGTTGAAGACACATGCACATTGTATGTAAACAAATGTACATACTAATGATTTATTTTTCACTTAATTTGAGGTTTTAAGGGTCGACTCTTTAATTATTTTTTTTTATCCAAAATTGAATACATCAGTATATAGACAAAGCTTGCGAAACGATTTAAGTTTTTTTTTTCTTTGATATCAATAGACATTAAATTAGTCAATTCTATATCTATAATGGTTAATTTAAAGTTTTTTGTAGAAGTAAAAAAAATCTAGTCAAAGAAACGAGCTGAATTAGATTGTATTTTAGGCGATATTTCATTCTTTTGATTAACTAATTTACAGGGTTTTTTTTCTACATACATGTACTTGGTGAACGAAAAATTAAAACTTAAAATTACCTCAGTCGGGTAACTTACGACGTTATAATCATAACTCGGCAAACACACCTTTTATTTTGTTTTGTTTGAAGGAAGGATATGAATAATTATTTTAAAAAAGAAGCAGCAATTATCAGGCGATTGCAGTAAGTATGAATATATTATGCATTACACGAAATGCCTAATTAACACTTAGATAAGATTGTAATCAATGCTATACGTATACCTTATTATATTTTGGAAAAACCGTATTGGATAATTTTTTTCACAGTTTAAACTTAAATATCACATAAGTAGTATACTTTTAAAAATTGTGAATAGTTTTGCATTCCTCTTAAACAAATTTATAAAACATGAAAAACGACCCCCCCCAAAAAAAATAGAAGGTACTAAATGTATGAACATCCAATGTTAATACGCAGAACCTCAAATTCTTACCTGTAACAGATATTCTTTTGATATTTCCTTGTGTACACATATCGCCTGTGAAGTTGCCTTTGCATCCCCCAATGCAACGCAGCATTGTTAAGGCTAGAATAAGGGGGCGGGGCCTAATTTATACGGGAAAAGTATACTATGACGTCACACAAAAATATGACATTTATGTAGTTGTCATAATACGTGTAAATGAAATAATTTGCAACTCTTTACAGTATTAGCATAATGAACAACATTATAACTTATCAATGCATTAAAAAAAGTTGCTAGTTAAATCCCATGTAGCTGGTTAAAAACTAAGCACTCATTGCGATGAACTTGTAAACATGACGTCATACTGGTAAAAATGACGTACTTCATGTGCTGTGAGAGGCAAATTGAGAAATTGTTAAACAACGAAAAATACATTTTATTATTAAACGGAATATTATTTACAGATTTTGAATAGTCAATTAATACCAAGGTATAGCCTTTGTTTAGTGCGATTGTTATTTAACTACAAGGACAATGTATTTTATTAATTATTGTCGTGTTTTATGCACAGGTTACGTATATTTTACATCGAAATGCCTCATAAAATCGAACTTTCGAAAGGGCATACACTGCATAAATCTGAACCATTTTTCAAATATAGATAAAGGATATATTCCTTAACTTGAAAAGTGTTGCTGCTTTCTTTAAATCGAGGCCGTGATTTTATTAGTACACAAAATATTTGGTAAAAATCTAACATCTTTCGACATTGGTCTATTTACTTAAACATTTAAGTATTAAAACGCGAATTCTTTTCAAAGCAGCAACACTTTTCAGAAACTACAAAGTATACAGAAACATTTAATAGCTTAAATTTTTAATTTCAATTAGGGTATGCCCTTGCGATATTGAAATTTGTTATTGACCTACATTCCGTGTACCTACTATGCCTTCATCACGTGACTGTCCATCGATGGTACCAAGCTAGATACAGTACAGAGTATGTTATACTATGCTATTTCCATAAGTATGTAAAGTCTAGATCTGTGATAATAGAATAACCGAATAAAAATAAATTCATGTTTAAAAACAATGCCAGTTTTTGCACTTTAATTTTCCGTTGATTTCTCATAGTAAGCCTTAACAGTGCTGCGAAGACCCATTATTTCGAAGACAAGTTCCGTGTAGGCAGTTTGAACTACACTTCTGGTCACATTTTTCACCGTAGTAATTTGGTGTACACTCTATTGAAAAATATATCAATTATAGACGATGGAATATGAAAAAAGAAAACAAATTGCATGTGAAAACTTGAATTACTTAGTCATTAAGAAACCAACAACGAATCAAAATAAAATTGTTTAAATTTGATACAAACAAAATCAAAATATGAACTGATTTACTATTACTTAAAGAGGTTATATTTTTGTACTGAAATTATTTACCCAATATAAAAAAAAATGATTTCATATAATTTTGTGGTTTTACCATTACAATGAGGTCCCTGCCACCCTGTTTTACAAGCGCAGCTCCAATTAGTTTGATGACAACCGGAAATACACCCACAACCACAGGTCTGATGACAGGCAGCGCCGAATTTACCGTCAATACAACCAGAAGTACATAAACCATTGATTTTACTGCATCCACCTTTACATGTTTGGCTGCAGGTTTTATTACAAAATTCCCCATACTTGCCAACTGGACATTCTCCCTCACATTCCCCAGATTGTTTGTTGCAGGCTGACAAACATGATGGACTGCATCTTTTCTCACACGTTTCTAGATAAAATCCGCTTTCACATCCAAAGGTGCAGGTCCAGTAGCATTGTCACAGGTCTCCCTTTTACAATTTACGCTACATATTTTTGAGCAATCTTGTCCATAATGGTTTAAATTGCATCCTTTAAAAATACAGAGAATGCAAATCTTGATCTGAAATACTAACATTTTGTACGATCAACTGTAGAGATCTCTATTTTAACCTTGAAAGAGATAATAGTCCATTTTGTTTAATTTTGAGACAATATTTAAATAAGTTTAGATGTTGAGTGTCCATCAAAGAGTCCATCCACCTCCTGGTTGCCCTAATTGTGGTGAGCAATTTCAACATTGCCTCGTGGTACCCACGTAATACCTTTGCTATCAACAAAAGTTTGTTGATTCATTTGCAACAAATGTTAACAAGTACAAGAAAAATCTGTTGTTTTAACCCCTATACCAATCTCTACAAAGGAGGCATTTGTTCTTTTTTATTAATTATTTTATTTTTAGTTTATCTTACATACCTTTATCCATCTAGTATTGCAATATAATAAAATTGAATATGTGAGAATAAAACAAATTAAAAATCCAAGAAACTTACCATCACATTGCTCGCCTGCCCAGTTTTGTTTACACCCATTAATACAAATTCCATTTCGAAAGCATTTGGTTTGTGCACAGTTTCGACTGCATTTCGTATTACAAAATGGACCATAAAATCCATTTTTGCAACCATTACTACAATGTCCATATGTTTTTCCACATTCTTGATGCAGGCAGGTGATGCGACATGGTACATTGCACTTTGCTCCGTAAAAGCTTGTGTTACAGGCGCCACAATTTCCACTGTCTTTCTCACAGGTACCAGTGCTACAATTTCCGCAGACTCGCAGTTTTTACCATAATATCCTGGAAGGCACCCTGGGATATGAAAGAGAAAAACAGACGGTCATACGTGTATCTGATTATTAAGATCGGTAATGTTTTCTCAAACAAAGTTAGGGATTATATATAATCCTATTATATATAATATTTTTCTTGATATTATTCAATTATTGCTGTTTTTGATGTCAATACAATGAGTTAGCCACCTGAGGAGTACAATATTCATCAAGCCCGGAGGTCAATCCTGGTGGTTTGGTTATCGTATTGACTGAAAAAACCCCAGCAATAATTATTTATTATATGATTCAATGATTAAATGATACAGCTCATTGCTTATTTACCTTCAATCATAGGCGGCAGAACTGGAGTGAGAGTGGCTTAGCCCATCCCCTTTTTTGCAAACATTAGCATAATATAGGCAATGAAAAATAGGGTTTACATTTTTTGTTGCTTTAGCCCCCCACTTTTAATACCCCCCCCCAACTTTTAATTTGCTTCCTACGGTACCTCTATGTTAATTAAGTCCTAGCCAAACACATGAGAGAAGCAGAAGTAAACAGTAAATAAACCATACCAGTTGTATCAATTTAAAATGTTTTTTTTTATCTATTTTAGTTGCCAAGAAAAAAGTTACCATGTCAATTTCTTTAATAGGATATATTTTGAAAGGAATGAGTATTATAAGAGAAATCTGACAGCCGAAGAAAAGTAAAACTTGTTGTTCAGTTAATGTTTTGGATTGGGTTTCCTGCACCTCCTCTTACCACACTCACCCGAAAATATATATTCGATTAAAATATACTCAACAAAAAAAGAAACGCATATTGTTTTACTCGTCAACGAAATTTTTAAAATGTACATGAAACAACTATTTTTTTTATCATTGGATACCTGTGACCTATTTAAAGGACAACATGGGGTTTTAAAACCCACGTGTTGAATTATCTCCCTTGATTAAACATGTTTATGAAAGTAGTGTTTTTCATGATTTCTTCTAAATCAGTTGTCTATATTTATTGATATTTTGGATTTAGAGAAACTTTTAACACTTCTATTAAACCCATATTTAAGATTTGATTGCAGTGTTGATACTACAATGCCATGGTGAAACAAAGATGAATACAACCAAGCTAAAGATGATACTAAATGGAACTACGCAACGGAAAGTTTCAACTGTATTTGAAATAAATCAATGGGCAACCTTAAAACTAACATCTGAAGACCACTATCTGGCCATCCGGGTAACCACATTCAGGCAGGACCGTCAAACACCCCCCCCCCCTTCATCACCTCATGCGATTCAGAACTTGCTGTAAAAACTGCTGCTACAATTGCTGGATGAAAAAATCTGCATAAAATTGCATAAATTGTTCGCAAGAGACTGAAATGAGATGGAATTCCTCCACGATATTCGTACATTGGAAACCCACTAGCATTGAGACTGCACATTACATATTGTTATGCCCCTTGAATTTGGGGGCAATGAAAATGACATCAACTTGACTTTTCAATTTGCAACATTGATTTTTATCACAACACACTCTAAAATCGCTTGAATAATATAAGGTTGAAACTGAAAACTTAGAATTTCATATCATTCTGATTATGCGTTTCTTTTTTTGTTCAGTATATGTTTTGTTCACATGAAAAAAGGCATAGTCGTTTAATAGCTTTCAAAACAATTTGTATCAATTTGGAATTTCCCCGTCTATTTTTAGGTCAATGCAGAGGAAATAAATCCTTGTATTCATCTGGAACGTCACGTGCAGGAAATTATAAGTAAGTATTCCACATAGTTGGATCTCATCCAATCAGAAATATAGAAATTATTCAATCATATAATAAACTGTGATATGCAATGAGCTAAGTATACATATATAATCTACATCGCTTGATTTGATGAAAGTTATTTCATATTATTAGATGAAGGTGGCGGTTTACTTCTTCATCCCTATTACTTATTTATATTAAGCAAAAACAAAAAAGACCAATAAAATTATGGGACCAACTACACGCCTTTTTTTATCCTTGAAGTTAAATTTGTTAAGTTACATGTATATTAGTTTGAATTTAAAAAAATGTATATTTTTTCATGATTTATAATTTTTTTTATCAGAATTATAGAAAAAAGGTTTTCTCACCATAAACTTGAATTTCACATATTTGAGATAAAGCACCCCTAATTCCATATTTAGGATGCCATATGGTAACTCTCAGGTATCTGGCTGTTTTTTTTTTCGCATAGAGAAATCTGTATGCTTTGGGAATCAAATGCTCCGTAGCAAATACTCCACTGTTGTGCATGAGAGGTATTGGACATCCCTATATTGAATTCACTTATTAGATACGGGTTCCAGACTGTTTGAGAGTTTCCTAAAACATACATGTATGTCATTATTGTCATACATTTTTTCCTTCATTTTTTTTTTCAAATTTGATTACACAGGATAACAATATTATATTGTTTTCTCAATTACATGTATTTTCACTTTTTTTTTTCATTTTTTTAAATGAAGGAACAATTTTGGACTATAATGTTAAAAATAACTAAACTGTAAAAATATAGATTAGCAAGAGGACAATAAACGTTGCCTGTCATATAAATAATAATTTTTGACAACTTATAACTTGAATATAAGGCACAAAAATGAATATATCAACATTATGTTTTACGTCACTGATGAACGTCTTCTTGTATAATTCAATGTGTTTTAGAATCATTGTTACTATTTCCTTAAAACCTCTTTTCACAGATTTTAGAGCCTTTTTTTGCCTTTCCTCACTTACTTTTACCTCTAAGGAATCATGTTCTTCATTTTTACAAATGTGAATGTATTGTTGCACAGTACTCTTTAAGTTTTTCTTTCACTATTGTTAATATCTTAGTGAGAAGTTAAGAAAGAGGCTTGGTTGAACATTTACTGGAACCTGCAATGTATATTTATTCGCACGGATTCTTGTGAAATTTAACCATAACAAATTGCTCAACTAAGGACACATCTCTTCCCTAGCTTACTATTCTTGGTAGCTCAGTCGGTAGAGCGCTAGCTCCGTAACTGGGAGGTCATGAATCGTAAATCTAGACTGCGACTGACCAAAGGCGATAAAAAGGGTAGCAACTGTTCTTTCGCCAAGCGCTGGACACTTTGAAGTGAAAGTTGTAGGTCCTTCTGATGAGACCTTAAAAACCGAGGCCCTCTGTCATGGCAGGTAATTGTAAGATAAAGATCGCTCACTGCTCAATGACCCTGAGTTTCGGTTAAAGGTCACAATTTGAAGTCCCCATCGGTATATGGTGACGTCTCTATATGAGTGAAAAATTCTCCAATTGGACGCAACACAACATACAATAGCAATCACTCAGTCTTCCCTAGCGTGCTTTCATTGGGCAACAGAACAAATATGAATTCTAACCATCACCCTTCCTAAACTTAAACAGCCGATCCAATTAATGTTTGATTTTTGGCAAGTATTTTGTTTTCATAAACCTTGTAAATAGTATTGTATGCACTCCTAGAAGAAAATTTTCAAGACATACTTTAACGTTTTCAGCCGTTTGTCGTTTGAGTACAACAGACTCAACAATTTTTATTAAAAGACACCTACATATTGACATTATTTTCTCATTGTGAGATCATAAACATGGGGCGAAACATTATATAATATCTGTTATTTACAGAACTATATACAATAATGTAACTACATGTGTGCCAAATAAATTCTATATAGTGGTGCTGTAAATATATATAGAACTATATACAATAATGTAACTACATGTGTGCCAAATAAATTCTATATAGTGGTGCTGTAAATATATATATATATATATATATATATATATATATATATATATATATATATATATATATATATATATATATATATATATATATATATATATATATATATATATATATATATATATATATATATATATATATATATGTCACAAGTATTTGGTCATCCCTTAAGCGTTTGACAACCCCTATAAATAATAAACAAAAGCAAATGTTCTACGAACATATATTTCTTCTCCCCTATATTATGTAGATCTGTCATTGATAAGGGTATCCAGCGCAGTCACGAAATTAGATATTAAAAATATTTACAGTTAAAATACCGCATAAGTTGAAATTTTAGCGAGACGTTACATGTTGTTAAGCAATTGTTCCCCCAAAAATATAAATTATTTGCGAGAAATAATTTAAGCTTTTTTTATGTCAGGAGGAAAAACGATTACAGCCGATATGGAAACGATTGTTAGGGAGTCTTAGTTGTAGTGATCTCAGAACCCTTGAACTCGCTAATATAGCCGAAATAGGATACGCGATAAAAATTATTCTTGCAGAGTAATTCAAGTTATGAATATAATTTTTCAGTTTTAAATTGACTCGATTTAATGAAAAATTTTCAGAATCAGAATAAAGCTTGATATAAAACACTTATCACGAACACAAAAAAGATTTTATCAAGGCTGTGCAGCGAGAATACATAAAGGTTTGTGTAGTTAAAAAGTTATGGAAAGGAAAAATTATGTTACGTTTTAGTTTTCACCACTGTGCACTGTAAGTTGAAGTCTTTTTAAATTTCATTCAGAATTCATTATTACATATTCCGTTAGTATATTCTTTATATTATATTTTTTGGCATTTATTCACTACTATTTCTATTTGGAAAATCATGCTTGCAATTTAAACTATATTTTCTGGCGTCAGACTGAATTAACAAATACGGAATATATGTATGCTTAATCGAGCACCAGTGTGTCATAGACCGACAAATCAGATGATTACTCCTAAACGAATTTCATTGCAGAAACTCTTTTTTCCACACATGATGTACATCATAAAGTTTTGACAATGTTTTAAATTCTTACTTGAAATATACATACCTGAATGTGTGTAATAGATTTTGATGATTTTAACCTGATATTCTTTTTTTAGGTCCACCATAATCCATGCTGGTTCTGCATCATTAACTTCAGTATGTGAACAGTTAT